GTCCCCGACGCACACGCACAAGGGGATTGTTGCGGCAACCTGGACAGTGCGTCCGCGTTAGCGTGACGCACATCCTTCCGATGGTGAATTTGGAAGGAGAATTCTTGCAACGTGTCCAGCCATCTCGCCAATTGTCCGGATGGCTGGTCCATCTTAAGAGCGTACTGCAAGGCCGCATGGTCCGTTCGGACAATAAACGACCGACCGTACAGATACGGTCGAAATTGGCGGAGAAAATACACAATAGCCAAAAGTTCCCTGCGAGTGACGCAGTAACGAGTTTCCGCGGGAGACAAAACCCGACTCCCGTACGCCACCACACGCTCAACACCACCTTTTGACTGGGACAACACCGCCCCAATCCCGGTGTCACTCGCATCAGTATCCAGAATGAAGGGATGTTCAAAATCCGGATAATCCAACGTCGGCGCAGTAGCCAGTAGGTCGCGCAGGCTCCGAAACGCCGCCTCCTCCGGCGGTCCCCACACAAATTTGTGCCCCTTCCCAGTAAGGAGATGCAAAGGCCTGGCGATAGTAGCGAAATTCGGAACAAACCTCCGGTAATATGAGGCGAACCCCAAAAACCGACGCACATCACCCACCGTGGCGGGGGTTGCCCAATCCCGGACACACGCAGTTTTCTCTGGATCCGTGGCCACCCCGTCCGCACTAACAATATGTCCCAAGTATCGAACGGAACGTTGCAGTAGATGACATTTCTTAGGCTTGAATTTCAAATTAGCAGAACGCATTCTGGCAAAAACGGCCTCCAACCGCAATAAATGCTCATCAAATGTGCGGCTGAAGACAATAATATCATCTAAATAAATGAGACATGTCTCCCACTGCAACCCCGTCAATACCAACTCCATCAATCTCTGAAAGGTGGCAGGGGCTGCATTCAACCCCATCGGCAGACAGTTAAATTGGAACAACCCCTGCGGCGTACGGAACGCTGTCTTTTCCCGCGAGGGCTCGTCAAGGGGAAGCTGCCAGAAGCCCGAAGAGAGATCTAGCGTTGAAAAAAACTTAGCCCCTGACAAGGCGTCGAGAGAATCGTCCATACGCGGCAGGGGATACGCATCTGCCACCGACACTTTATTTAACTTCCGAAAATCCACACAAAATCGTAATTTACCATCTTTCTTTTTAACCAACACGACAGGCGCACCCCACGGGCTATTAGACGGAGATATAATATCCGCTTTCAACATGTCTTCCACTGCCCCTCGAACGTGCTCACGCTCAGCCGGACTCATCCGACGCGAGTTCAAGCGGATAGGGGCCGCGTCCCCTGTTTCGATGTGATGAGAGAGCAGCGAGGTGCGTCCCAAGTCCAAATCGTCCGAGCTAAACACATCGGAATAGCTCGCTAATAATTTATGAATCGCACAACGCTGCTCAGCGGAAAGGGCCGAATTTTCCGCACATAATTCGGCGATCCAACGATCGTCCACCCCTCCGTCGTGTGAAACACCACCCACCAGCCCCCCGTCCGGAATGTCACTCTGAGCCGTAAACGCCGTAGTGGCGTGTGCCACAACGGTACCAGCCGGCACACACACGCTTTCAGAAGTCGCATTTAACACCTGCAAAAACGGGCGCTGATCCGGACGGACAATGGTTTGCGCCCCCACCAGTGCCAATCCGCCCGTAACAGCGGCGGACGGCGACAGCAAAATTCCACAAGCACTCTGCCGACCCGGAACCGGCTTCCGGTATCGTAGGGGAATGAGCATCTGCGAGCCAGGTGGAATATCAACTGAAACTTCCGATAACGCCTGCACCTGGGCAACCGGAGCCGGTCGCCCCCAGGTGGACTGTAAAAACGCCAATTTGCGGCCCCCTGGCAGTTCAATGCAATTTTCATTGATTCTAATTAAAATGGGCATCTTAGCCAAAAAATCCGTGCCCAACAAGCAAGGAACCGCCAGGGACCTCGAAATTAACACAACGCCCGAGGCCGAGACCCCCCCGATAGAAATATTAGCGTCCACCTGTCCCACGATGCCCATACTACCCCCGTTCGCAGCGATGCAGGAAGCGTAAGCCGGCCTCACGGCCCCCGGTGGGATGTTCAAAAGATGGAATATGACATCCGAAATAATGGTCGCGGACGCCCCGGAATCCACCAAAATACGCACGTCCACCCCTTGGATCGACCCCGGTACAGTGGACGAACCTGTAGCGGCCGCGACAACCCGCCGAGCCAACTTACGCCACTGCGTTATCGAGCGACAAGGCGCAGATACTGGCCTCCCATATTTTAGAACATCCGCGTCGCACAACAACGGCGATGAGTGAGGTGTCAGGCCTTGCCGGGTGTCTGGTGCGCACCGACTTGCCTGTGCCGGAGGGTCTTTCTTTGGGACGTCCGCGATCGAGGCCTCCTGCTGGGGCGGCCCCGGAACCCGGGCCCAGCAGTCCCTGGCATAGTGGCCCCGACGGCCGCAGCGGAAACAGTCGACGTCGGGTCGGCGCGCAGCAGGCACCCCGTCCCGACGTGGCCGCGCCGGCGGCGGAGCCCGCGGCCCCGGCTCGCTTCGAGCCGGCCACGGAGTGGAGGCGGCCGACAGCTCCTTTGGGCCGGTCGCATCCGGCACGTACACGGCCTTTGTAGGGTCCCACCCTACGGCCCCCCCATCGACGACAGGACCGCCCGTCCACGCCGTGACTTGTTTCCAGCGGCGGAGATTGAACTGGGCGTCCAAACACTTAGCCGCGGTCCGGGACGTGAGTTTCTCGTGACCGCAAGCCGGCATAGGAATGCCCAGATCCCGGGATAACTCCAACATCTTCCCCAAGATGAGAGGTTCCAGCAGGTCAGGCTCCGTCTCCGGGTAAGCGGCCATCGCGAGTTCCAGCACGGCGCCCCTGTACGCTACAGGCGACTCCTCCGGTGCGCGTTGCCGCTGCACGAAGCGGCGATGGGCGTCATCCGGTGGCTCGTACGCGTCCGCCATTTCGTCGAACACTCCACGCAATGTTTTCTTCTTCGCAGCTTTTATAGAGCGAAAAAAACGAACAGACTCATCGTCAAGGAGAGTCGGAAGCACCTCCAGCGCCTCGGCGTCCGTCCACCTTGCCGTTCGTACCGCCGCCAAAAATCGACAAGCGAACGCACTCCAATCGCCCCCGATGGAGAACTCCTTAACAGTTGTAAGGTGACGACTGCGGCTCCTTGGCCTGCTTCCGTCCGTCACCGACTCTTCCGGCGGCAAGTTCAGCAAGGCGTCGCAACGCGGTGTCGCCAAGATGGCGGACGATCTTCGTGGCGGCCCCAAGATGGCGGCTTCCCGCCTTCCGTGGTGCGCCACGCCCAAGATGGCGTCTTCACGCCGCGTGGTCGATGGCGGCGCCATCGAAGACGACCCGGGCTCCTGCCGATCACCACCATCACCTTCCAACGCCGCCCTTGGCGTGACAAGGTCACACAACTCCGTGATGACGGTTTTTAGGGTCGCCAGTTGCTCCGCCATCCGGGTCCATCTTAAATCTTCGTCCTTCAACGCAGATGGGTCGGGCGCAGCGGCAACCTCCTCCACACCCGGGCCCTCACGGATCTCTCCCTCCGCCGAAGTGAAGCCGACCTCAGGAGGAAGATCGTCGTCGTCCGATGATGAAGCCGACGCCGGAGATGGGATATTCTTCTTCCTCAGTTGTTTCGCCATGCCGTTTCACTTCTGACTCCAGTGTAATAAAAGGACTCGAACACTTCTTTCTGTCTTCGTGTCTTTATTCAGGTTCACGTCTTTACCCACACGGCACTCTGTTATAACTCCTGTATTTGTAGCCCCCGGCTATTCACTGCTATTATAGCTTCCTCACCCCTCTGACTCTCTGCTTCATCTACTGTAACCTCCTCCCTGCAGACTTGCTGCTACCCCTATGTGCAGACCCTCTGGCTGTCACTGTATGCAGACCCGCTGCCCACTCTCTCTGTGCAGCCCCGCTGCTGACTGCAGCCTCCTTGCTGCTTCGGGTCGGTCACCGCTGGCCAACGGTGCCGATCCTCGCTTCCCCCGTGTTCGTGGCGATCTCGCCACACCCCGCTTCGCCCTACGTGGCCTTCCTCTGTTCCTGGCTCCCAGTCACTTTCCCTGCTCTTCCGGTTCCCCTCCTTCTATACTCAACCCCTCTCCCCCCACGTGACCTAACTCCTCCCCCCCTGACGGCACCTCAGAAGGGCCGTTTACAACCGCATTACATAAGTATCGGCGCACACGCACCACGGTTTGATCGCAACGCCGATGCTGAAGTCCGTCATGAGACGTCTCGAGCGTCCCGCGAGGAGGGCGAGGAGGGCGAGGGGGGGCGTTTTCAGTCTAAGTCTGATCGTTGCATTGGCAGCTGTGTGTCAATAATGTCTGTGTCGACATGACAATCTGGCCGGGTGGTGGAGAGTTCTAATTACGAGAGATTGTGTGTGAAACTACCACCTGAACCTAGGAACAAATATGGATCTTACAGTAGTCGGGTGTGATATAGTATGGTCATGGAGGCATCGGTGGATTGTGATTCGCCATTTGAAATTGGTGTTTAAATTGGTGTTCCCAGTTCCATTCCCAGCCACGGTCCTGGGTCTCTGCCCCTTTACCAATCTACGCTGACCAGACAACTCCCATGACGAACTCAATATGGTTAAGCCTTTTTCCTGCAGTGAATTGACATGGGCTGTATATTGACTCTTATTACAGTATTGTTACTTGTAGTATGAATGTACTTATGTGCTTATCAATAAATTCATGCCAGTGAGACCGTTCCACGTCTAATACGATTACTCAAGGAGATGCATACGATGATTACGGGCACCGCTAGGCATCACGATCCACCGCAGCGTTGACACAAAGTTCTCGGGCCCTTGAGCGAGGCACCGCCGGTGCCAGCAAACAAACACATCCCGGTCCCCCCTCGGCGCGGGCGCGCGACTTGACGATCACTCGGCCGGCTCGCCGTCCCGTGGCCGGCGCTAACCCCCCGATGTGGCGCCGGCGTTGCAGGCTTCCACCTGTCATCACGCCTCTCCTCACTGGTGCCCGAGAGCTGCCTGCTGATCGTGGTGGGGCTGCTGGCCGGGGGCATCCTCACGCTGACGGGCGCCACCTCGAGCAGTGAGCACCAGGGCTCCTCCATGTCCTCCGAGGTACGGGCGCCGCACGCATCCTCTCCCTCTCTCTCTCCCTCCCTCTCTCACGCAGCTGCAGCAGTAGCTGCAGCAGCAGCAGCTGCAGCAGGCTGGGCTGCGTGGAGGCCTCTGCAGATAAAGCAGCGTGTCATGGAGCCCGTCCGTCGCGTGCCGTGTCGCAATCGCCCCACCGGCAGCGAAGGTCTCATTAGGCGCGTGTCTCCTCTTCCCCGCCGTGACGCGCCCGGCTATTAAACGGGAGAGACGGCTTCGAACAAACAATCCCCGCCACTCGTTGACGTTAATGATGGGACGCGCAGCGTGCGCTCGGCTCATTCCCGGGGCTGCGGCGTCACAGAGTTTGACGGCCACTGTCAAAACACAAACACTGCGTCTCTCACTGAGCAGGGTGTAACCGAGTGGGGTGTGCAGTGAGACTGAGTGGGGTGTGTAGTGTGAGTGGGGTGTGTAGTGTAACCGAGCGGGGTGTTGTTGTTTTTCTCGCACTGTCTGATTATAGGTGGCGTTGTGTCGCCAATTTGGAAGGGTTTAGCCAGACATCAATCGATTTAATTTTTGTTCCGGATTTTGGGCAACTGAGAAAATGGGAGAGATGTCTTCTCGCGTTGCTTGGCACAAAGGGCAGCAGTTTGAGGCGTTTGGGTCGTTCCGATTTTGGTAATCGGCTAGCATGGAGCAGTAACCTGAACGGAGTTGAGCCAGTTTGGTGCGAATTGCCGGGTCAGGGATTTTTCATCGTCTGCTATGGGTGGGGGCCAACCCCCTAGCACGACATTGGGGGCTTGTAGGCGTTCAGGCAGTGCATGGTGGCACCGGTGTGCAAGTGGTTCAAATTGATTTGGTGGTGCTGTTTGGTGGAAGAGCGTTTAAAGTAGATTGCACATTGGCAGAGCTGAAGGAAAGCAAGGTGGATTTAATTTTCCTAGCAGGTGCAGGGGCTTTGAGTAGCTTTGTGCAAGGATGCGTTGTCGAGTGGCATGAAGCCAGATATTTGTCGGTAAGAAGCTTGCAGTGTTCTTGAATCGGAAGAACTTTGGTTTCTTGGTGGAGAAGGTAAATGGCCGCCTTGAGGTGGCATCCTGTGGTGAGGCGAAGTGCTTGGTTTTGGGCAGTTTGGAGCTTTTGGTAACCTGTAGAGGAGAGGTTTGGGCACCAAATGGCACTGGCATAATTGATGATGTGACGTCCAATGGCTTTGTCGGTTAGGAGTAAAGTCTATATTTGTTGACCCCAAGATGTGCCGGCTAAAGCTCGTAAGATGTTATTTCGTTTGTTAACTTTTTCATGGACGTTTCTGCCGTGTTGAGCGAAGCTGAACATGGTGTCAAAGGTTACACCTAGAATTTTTGGGGTTTTTGCTATTGGGAGGCGTTGATTGTTTATGAAGACGTTGGGATGTAAGTTGGCTTGATAAGGGTCAGGTGTGAAAAGGGTGACTGTTGATTTGGATGTTGAGAGTTGAAGCGATCTATTGGCTCGGAAAGTGCTGAGCCGTTTTAGATAGGAGTTGATGGAGTTTTTCATTTTGGGTATATTTTGATTAGAAGTGTAAACTGTGATGTCGTCGGCCGAGCGGGGTGTAGTGTAACCGAGCGGCGATCGATCCGTTGGAGCTGCTGCGGCAGGGAACCCCTCCCCCCCCCCCCCGTACATGGTCCGACGGATGCAAGGTTGAGTCGCCAGCATAATAATAAAGTTAATGCCAATTATTTAGCCAGGAATATCCACGATCGAGTGCTTGGTTTCGTATGAGGTGGAAAATCGGAGATACCTGGAACGCACAGCATTATGGAGGAGGATCGGGAGGAGCATGATCACCACTGCCATCTCCTGGGCGCACCTCGCCACTGCGGCTCCACGTCCACAGCAGCTGCCACAGTCCTGTCGGTCACATTCGTGCTCGAACCCGCGTCGTCCTCACACGGCTGTGGGTGTGACGAGCGAGGATGTTGCACCCAAATGTGGGGACCGAGAGCAGTACGAGGATGAGCCCCTGTGCCCACACACCCACGCCTCTCCTCCCCCTACCACGCACGGCCGTGTGTGCGCGCGTACACTGTGCACAGGGCGCAGAATGCCTCCGTGACCTTGTTGTTATTAATTAGGGAAGGTAAGTGAATGTTGCCGCGGTATTTTTAGAAGTACAGCTGGCGTCTCTGCATCGTGGCGCACATTCTCACCCTGTTTTTTGTGGAATGAATGACGCGGGGGCGAGCGGCCGCAGAGCCGGCGGGGCGGGAGCGGTCAATTGCTCACGGGCCGCTTGTCCATTTAGCTAATGAGACTTCGGGGCAAACGAGCGAGGCGCCAATCAATGACGGGAGGGCCCGGATCATCGTCTAAATAACGGGGTCACAGAGCCAGCGAGCGAGCCTGCCGGTGGAGAACCAGGGGCAGCCCAGACAAAGGGCCGGCAAACTCTCGGCATCTAACAACGCCGCATGCGTGAGGACAGGGAGGAGAGGTTTGAGCGGCCGTTCTCGGGGATGAACGAGGCGGCCGTACAGCCAATGAGTGAGATGTTGCAGTAGGCCTACCGTCCACTCTCATACGTCCGACAGGACCCTCCTGAAAAGAAAGAGCCCTGAAACTCGGTGAGACCTTCCTAGGAACGAACGAGGTATTAGCTATGACGGCACACAGAGCCGAGTCTACCTGGTGGCTATGCTATGAGGCATTGGAATGAACCACCGGTCTCATAACCGGTGACCCATCTGTGCGCTCAAGGTGGGAAAGCCTTTTGGGCTGTGTCGGCCCACCAGTACGGGCACGCGGGACAAGCAAGAATAATAATTACGATTATAATTGAGCACATTTGTTATTTGCGCCATTCTTGTAGTGCAGAGCCGATGACGGAGGAAGGATCTGCTGTGTTTCATGCGGCATGAGTTTGCCAGTATGTGTGTGATGTTGCGATGCAGAGTTCTGGGTGATAGCCATTTTGAGTAATTTGCGGTGTACTTTTTTTAATTTATAAATTTGAACCTCGTTTGGAATTGCGTCACGGGGTCTGTAACATCCACTGTGAAGCAGACGGTGCATGGTCTTTTCGCGGTCAGTTCGCACTGCAGTGTTAGCCAGGGCGGCCAACGGACTCGAACCATGAACCTACGACTGGGCCTCTCTGTCGCACTATCGCTAACGCACTATCGCTAACGCACCATCGCCAATGCACTATTGCCAACGCCCATCGCCAACGCACTGTTGCTATCGTTAACACACTATCGCTATCTCCAACGCACTATCGCCAACGCACTATCGCCAACGCACGATCGCCAACGCACCATCGCTATCACTCACACACTATCGCTATCGCTCACACACTATCGCTATCACCAATGCACTATCACGAAGGCACTAACGGGACGAGTCACTCAAAACGTGTGGCGCACACCTCTCTGGGGTTGAGCGGAGATGCTGGACGTCCGTGAAAACTACTGGGCATCTGTGAAAAAAAGCTTTATAGCTCATCGGATTCCTCCAGTATAGATATATATTCAGATTCCTATGCTACCCGTGGCCAAAATAGGGAAGTCCCAGATGAGTGGCATGACAGTTGAATGAGAGCGATCTCCCGATGCGTCGACCTGGGCGCCTCGGTGGCGAGATGTTAACTACTTCACCTGGTATGCAGGAGGCGGTCATGGGTTCGATACCAACCCTCACGCCTGCTGTATATTTGGCGTTTGCATGTCTCTCCCCGTGGTCATATGAATTTTTCTCGGGGTCCTCTGGTTTTTCCCTCCATTTTAGTATCAACACGCGTTTAGAGTATTTGGCTGCTATGAATGTCCACGTGATGACAAGCCACTTCGTTGAGCTATCATTTGTGGCCAGGTCGCTTGTGAAAAAAAGAGCTGAATAGTGGCTCAGTGGGCCTTGCGTGGTAAAATAATATCTAACACGCCAGGGGCTTATCACCGGTCTGCGGCCGGCGTGGGAGGCGACGGTGCTGAGCTGTAACGGGGTGGTGACGCGCTGCCAAACTTTGCGCACGTGGAGAATGAAAAGCGTCGCCCTGCCCAATGCGCTCGTGCCGCTGTGAGGTGCCATCTGCTCGTCGCGTAACCGTGCGTGGCTCGCGGCGTTCGCTCGCGGACCGCTGTGCACCGAGCAGCTAACTGGTGCCGGCTAATAGAATCCCCAAACCCGACACTCGCTCCCACTGCTTTCTCGGTTGCTTGTTCGGATGCCACGAGAAAGAAGAGAGAAGACCTGAACGATGTTCTTCACTGCTTTAGAGTCATAAAAACACGTCTGTAGGCACGCGCGGCTAAATTAAGCGCACGCACGCGCTCTGCTCGTGACCCAGATGTAATTAAGAAGCACCCAGCGCGTGGGTGACTCACTCGACCTTGGCAGGTGTCCCAGCGTTGGGGTTTGTTTGTTGTCTCACGGAAGCCGCGTGTTTGCCTTGCGGGGGGGGAAGGGGTGGCCGTCGTGGCGAGAGGAGACCCTCGCCCAGGTCGTCCCTGCAGCGGAAATTTCGTTCGAGTTCTGCTTCTTCAACTTGGAACTTTTGCGGAGGCCGGAGGTCTCCCCTCCTGCGAACAGCATTTCCTGCACCATTGCCAAGGGACGCGAATTTGTTTATAGTTTTTGCGATGTGTGGATTCGCGCCATAAGCGGCAGCGAGTTTACGTGCTCCTCCCCGCTGTTGTCTGGCCCCCAGGCTGTGAGGCCACGAGTTGAACATCGCGCGCCACCCCGTTACTTAATTGGGATCGCACACAGCAGCAGCATCGCCCCCAAATGCACACAAAACTAGTCTTGAGGCTCGGTGAGGCTTTCATGAGCAAGCAAGCGCAATAATAATAATAACTAATTTAATAATCAGATAAGCTGTCTCTACGTTCCTTGGTCTCCACATAACATATACAACTGTTTCATACGCAACTCATCGGCTGCGCAGACTTCTGGGAGTGCACAATTTGAGCAGCGTCGTTTCAAAACGAGCAAAATTCACGACCGGTTTCAACATACAGTGTCTGATGATGCTATGTAGTTTATACTTTAGTTTTCTACGTGGTTGTTTTGTAACTGCAGCTACATACTATTTACATTCCTTTCCTTTGTTAATGCTACCCCCCCCCTTCCCCCTCCCTTTGATGCTGCTAATCCTGCATAATGTACGGGCATAATATTAATTTGAAACCCCCCCGCCCACCTCCTAGCATTTTCCATATGCTAAATTCCTCTTGATATGCAAATTATTTTGTCAAGGCGCTCTTCTTCCCACCTCCCCCTCTCCAACCCAGCTTAAATCCAAGCTTGGTGGTGTTTCATTCTTCACCTGAGAACGGCTGCTTGCGTTGTGGCCGAAACGTCGTGAGAATTATTTTATTATGTTTTATTTGTATTATTTTATTACTTCCCTTCTACGTGACTTTACCGAAAGAACCAAGAAGATACAGTGTCTCATCAATAACGATGCTTTTCACGCATCGCTGCAACCCCGCAGAGGCTGGCCGGTCTCCCAGAACCTCAGAATGCCACTGGGTGCCACCCTAACCAACCCTCGTGCGCACTGTCTATACCCCCCCCCCCCGCCCAGGTGTTCTTCCTGTACCTGCTGCCGCCCATCGTGCTGGACGCCGGCTACTTCATGCCGGTGCGTCCCTTCCTGGACAACCTGGGCACGATCCTGTGGTACGCGGTGCTGGGCACGCTGTGGAACGTGTTCGGCGTGGGGCTGACGCTGCACGCGGTGTGCGCGTTGGTGCCCGCGCTGGGCCTCGCGTCGCTGGGCCTGGTGCACCTGCTGCTGTTCGCGTCGCTCATCTCGGCCGTCGACCCGGTGGCCGTGCTGGCCGTGTTCGAGGAGATCCACGTCAACGAGCAGCTCCACATCCTCGTGTTCGGGGAGTCGCTGCTCAACGACGCCGTCACCGTGGTGAGAGACGGGAAGGGGGGGGGGTCAACTGCGCTGTCCGCGAGAGAGGGAGAGTGCCTTGCGTGAGTGCGTGTGTGCGTGTGTATGAATGCACGTGTGTGCGTGTGTGTGGGTGAATGCACGTGTGTGAGTGTGTGTGTGTGTTTATGCGCGTGTGAGTGCATGTGTGCATGTGAGTGAGTGTGCGCATGTGTGTGCGTGCATGAATGCCTGCGTGTGTGCGTGCGTGAGTGCGTGTGTGTGTGCGTATATGTGTGCATGCGGGAGCGGTAGAGTAGCAGTTAGCGCTCTATGAGCCTGGAGATCCGGGTTCGATTCCCGCTCATAGCCAACACCAGTGATGATTATCTGAAGCGGTCGTGGGCTTCCCCGAGGTCGACTCAGCCTTACAACAAGTACCTGGTGCGGTGTGTAAACATCAGCAAAGGTGTCCGGGTGTGGTGCTGGCCACCCACCCCCTCGTGTGCTATGCCGGCCTTCATTGGTGCTGCTCGCTAACAGCACTTGCCCCAACAGTGTTAAGGCTATAGGGGGGGATCTTCGTGCGTGTGTTTGGGAACTGGACTGGTACCACCTGGACCTCTTTGGGACACAGGAGGTGCGGCGGGCTGGTTCTGGCTCCGGTCACCCTGAGGAGTCAACAGTGGGGGCAGGAAACTGCCAAACAACAGAGAGTGGCTCTCTGTCTTCAAAAAGACGATGGGACAGGTGGCAGCCCAACCAGGAATTGAACTCGTGTCACCAGCGTCAAAGTGGTGCCCTGGGCTTTTCCACTTCATTGGTCCCCAGGCATCGTGGCCTTGGCAGCGTGTCAGCCGTATTGATCTCCGTCCGTGGGCTCGTACCACTGATTGATTCCATCCCGAGATGGGCCGAGTGCCGTGTGGGGTGCCCGCGTGTCTAGACGAGGGTGGGGGGGGGGGTAAGTCCCATGAATGAATCTGATTTTAGAGTGGTGTTGTATTTTCACGATACCCTACCCCACTTGATACCACACTGTTGTGATGGAGTTTCTCATCATTTATAGATTTGATTATCACGTCAGATACACGCATTATTATAAACATTGAGCACTTCAATTCTCCAGCAAGTGGATCGCCAACAGTGGACGTGCCGCCGTGAGCCCCTCTCCCATCGTTCGGGGAGAAGAAGAGGAACTGGGCGGTCGTGTGCTTTGTGCCGGCTTTTGGAGCCGAGACGTTCAAGTCCAACCTGGCGCTCACATGGATAATGGTAGAGAGAGGTCCGGTGAGCATCTGAGCGCGAGCGACCCGGAGTGCAGGCCACCCTCCCAGTGAGCGAGTGACACGGAGTGCAGGCGACCAATTGCAGCAGCAACATGCTGGCCCTGGCTGTCGTTATATACAAAGTCAAAGATCCCCCCTATAGCCTTTAACACTGTTGGGGCAAGTGCTGTTCCTGAGCAGCACCTACGAAGGCCAACACAGCACAAAAAGGGGGTGGGTGTCCAGCACCACTCTCGACTGCCTTTATCTCTCTCGTGGCAAAGTTTAACACCACACCAGGTACTCATTTGAGGCTGAGTCGACCTAGAGGAGGCCCAGGACCGGTTCAGATTATCATCACTGGTGTTGGCTACGAGTAGAAATCGATCTCGGATCGCCGGGTTTGCAGCGCAGAGCACTAACTGCGACATCACCGCTCCCCACACAACAACAACCGCCATTCGCCACTAAGTGGCGGTGACGTCACCGCAATGCTTGTGCCAGACTATGTGCACCTTGAGGCCACGTGAAGTGTGGAACGCCCACTGGCAGGAGGTCACGGGGCAGACCCAGGTGCCACGAGTCTACTGAGATGACTGGCTGATGCACCACCTGTGCCCCCTACTATGCCAACTTGCTGTGCTTTAGCCACCCGGCGCTCTGCTCGTTGTTGTGAGCATCGCTCCTCCACCTCTCCGTTGTTGTTGGAGTGCGACTGCCTCCAACTGCCCAGTAGCAGCGTCCTTCACGAGCCTCCTCCACAGAGGCCGATCTTGACACCGCTGGTACCAGTCATCTACAAGTCCACTCAGCTCCACATCCTCCTGTACCACATCACTCCATCTCTTCTCCAGCCTGTGCCGCGCCCATTTAGCCCCCTCGATCCGGCCGAACAAAAACTGTTCAGGCATGCGGTGGCTGGGCATGCGGGCTACATGGCCCAGCCAACGCAGCCTTGCCTGCCGGAGGAGCTCACCGATGGGACTTTGTCCAGATCTTTCAAGGATTTGTGAGCTCCTCACACAATCTAGCCTGGTTAAACCCAGGATGGATCGTAGGCAGGCCAGCCTAAATGTTTATAACCGGCGAAGATGTTTCATTAGAGGGGTCCACGTTTCGCAAGAGTAGAGAAGAGAGGGAATGACCGTGGCCGAAAAGACCTGAAGCTTCGTGCGGAGCGAGAGACCAGGTAGCTTCCACACAGCGTTACGCAACCGATGAAAAGATAATGCCGCTCGACTGATTCGAAGTGAGACGTCTGCTGTTAAACTGGAGCCTGTCATGAGCACACTGCCGAGGTATGGGAAACTCTCCAATCTCTCCACAACTGCCCTATCACCAATTGGGAGTTTTGGGGGTGGAGTGTCCAATGGTACAAAATACCCAGGCAGGTGCTTAGTTTTGGTGGGGCTGATGGTAAGGCCCCACCTCTTCGTCGCAAGCTCCAGGTTCAGCAGCAGCGCCTCCAACTCCTCCTCTGAGTGAGCAGCAATTACCAGATCATCGGCATACATAACATGGTTGAGCAATAGGGAGCCATCCCTTGACCGCACCCGGGCATCGATCAGCCTCCCATTGTATCTGTAGCAGATTGAAATTCCTCCGGTACAGTTGTTGAGGGCTTCACGAACTACGCCGGGTTGGGGATAGAACCCGCGGAGAAACCAGGGCAGCAGGAAACCCCCCGGAGGTCTTTGCACGATGGAGGCGTGTGCAGTGCACACTCTGGCCCAGGCCGCTTAAACCGCACGCGTGTCCCCGTGTTCCCATCGGGCAAATGCTCGCCGCCACTGCCGCCTCTCTCTGCTTCTCGCTTCGTTGGACTGCAACTCCTCTGTTGCCGGCGGTTGTGCCGCACGGGTGGGTCTGAGCGATTTAATTAACGTCCATTACCGCATTCGATTGAGCGTGCTGTTTGGGCGAGAGCCCGTTGCGATTTTACAACCTTAAATTTCAAGCGTGTTTGCGCGTGCGCGTTTATTAAATTTAAGGATACCCCTTTCGGGTGAAGCGGGGAACGTTTTTAAAATAATTTCCATAACGCGGCACAGCAGCGCGGACGTGTATAACAGAGTGGGGCAGTTTGGGTAGAGAGCTAAAGACGTTATCGTCCTCGCCCTCAAAGGGGATTGCGATGCGTAGAGGGTGCTGGGGGATGAGACGGGGAGCTGCCGCGGCTCTTGAGGATTAAAGAGGAGAGAGGAATCGTCGACTCCGCAGCGGCGTCGCGTTTTGGCAGTAAACGCGCGGGTTCGGCGTCGTTCAAAGAGCCGATGACTCTCATCCCTTCTCTCAGAGTGGATGCGTTTTATCTCGGGTCTCCAGCTGCCCTGCAGTCACGAGCTTCGCTTGTGTTCGTGATTCGTGTCGGAGCTCCCTCGTCGCCGTTGAGGTTTCTGCCCCGCTGAAGGGATGTTGGCAGGCGCAGCGGCCGCTTGGGTCCGGTCGCGCCCCATTCCTGTCCCTGCTCTGGTGGTGGCCGTGGGGAGGCCACCGGGGGGCCGGTTGGTAACCGTCCCGGTAGGTAACATCCCGGTGTCGCCGGGGGGATTCGGATCACGTGCAAACGCAAACTCGACAAGCTTGTAGCAACTGACACGCCACCCCCGGGCAAACGAGCGGAGGGGTTAAATGAGCTTCGGGTCGGAGCGAGGTATACGTTGACACACACAACACAACCCGCGGGCAGGGAATGTGAAAAGCGTGCACGTGGCGCCACAGCAACTGGGAGAGGTGAGAGCATGCCCCCCCCTCCCACCCCGGGTTATCGATCGTGCAAGTGGAGACTCCTGTCCCAGTCCTCTCGAGTTTTCACAAACAAAATCAACGGGGATCAATCGCATGTTGGCGTGCAATCTGAGACTTTCGTCCCCGCGGAAAATGTTTAGTCCACACAAACCAAAACACGAGGACCTGTCGACAATATTCCGTGAGTCCCCCGCCCCCCGCGGGCGGGGTTTTCCGCTGGGGCCCGCCGGCGCGTTCCTAAATTCTGTCGCAGAGCGCTTTTGTGCAGCGCCTTGAATCATCGCCCGGCAAGACAGGCGGCTGCAATGCCGTTGTGACGAATACCAAATGTGGCGACGTCATGTGGTGTTGTGACGCCACGTGGTGTTGTGACGCGGGGTGGTGTTGTGATGCCGCAGTGCGGCTCAGTGGGGGGTTGTGGCTAATGTAACCATATTTATTTATTTTAAACGGATAATATATCCTGGATAGAATATTTGCAACAGGTTTTCGATTAATTATATCTTTGGAATCGCTTGCATTGATGTGAATGTGGGTTACAGGCTTCATACTCAATGCATCATCACAATCATTGTCATCATTATGAAATCATCATCATCTCAATTCTGAGGCTGGTGAAATGAGCCCTACGCAGTAATAACTGGTTGTTGAGCATTTAATGCCTCATGCACAGACTTGTCCCCTGCCATAGCATGGAATTTCATTTTATCTTGACTTTTACTTGCAGCAGGTTCTCTTGACTGAGTGCACAGTCTGCTGGTTTTTAATCGAAGGTGGTGCACGACCATCAAACCTTGGCTACTGTGTGTGCACCCATAGAGAGAGGCTGCCGCCATGCCAGAGAGGTCACCCGTGGGCTGCACGTGGACCCGGGTTAGGGTTATATGTAGGCCTGTGAGGGTTATATTTAGGGCCATTGGGGTTATATTTGTCATCATTATCTCCCCTGGCTTCGCAGTCACAAGGCACCAACACGTCCGTCCGTCTGGCTCGCCGCGGTATTTAAAGTGCACCGCCTAAGCATCGTTCAGGGCGCACGGTCATAGACGCGGCTTTTAATGTTTATATATATTTCTATTTTATGGTTGAAGCCGCGGCGGTGACGAGAGACTCGTCGCATGGCCAGGCTGAGGCCATCGCCGCTGCACAAGAGGGGGCGCGGATTTCATTGTGACCTGCTACGAACGCAGCGTCCTCGGTGATGCCGCCCCAGCGCTCTTTGATGCTTGGAGCACCTGGCCAGCTCTCGCTTTCGTCGTTTTAAATCTCTCCATTCGTGGCCTGCTCTTGAGAATAATGACGACGGTGTGAGGGGGCCCGTGGTGTCCACTCCACGTGAGCACTCGCGCCCCTCGGCCACTCAGAGTCCACCTTGCGGCTGTGGATGCCGACGCCGTCCTGGCCAGGCAGCTGGGCCCAAGCGGCCACCGCTCGGGCCGCGCCAAACGCCCCAAGTTAGCACGAGAACCAGAAATCGTACATCTCGCGTTACAGTGTAGTCGGTGGTGAGCGGCACGGTGCACATTTCACGAGGCACAGCTGCAGGACTCCAGGTTGCATAACCCGTGACCTGGAGTTAACCAGGGAATTATCTTCTGCAGCTGCGCAACCTCTGCGGTTTTATGCGATGGCAGGAATGTCCATGGAGTATGGGTGGTGAATCCACCATCCCTCTCGCGGTCCTCTGACGCCACAATCCGTCTTTCTCTCCCTCCCTCCCTCCCTCCCGGCAACCGAGCCGACCTCGCATCTCTATCGCCATGGTGGTCGTGGCATTCTCCCCTTCGCCTGCCATTTCATCGCCAAAGTCTTGCCCATCGGTGACCAGCAGTTAGATGACAGCGTTAGGTGAGCAGCGTGGTGGCGAGTTTCGTCTTTAATTTGTGCACCGCTGCCAGCGCGCGGTCCCTTTGCCGATGTCTAGGGGGAAGACGACGGCAGTTTATCTGCGTGACGGTGCTGCTTCTCGACACCCTCACTCGCCCTGAGGACCTTGAGAAAGCAGCAGTAACAGCAGTCACAGCAGTAACAGCAGCAGTAGCAGTAAGAGCAAAAGCAGCAGCAGTAGTTACAGCAGCAACCTCCGCAGCTCCAGTCGCTCTTGCAGCTGATTGGCTGGAGTCGTGGGAGTGATGACGTAATGCCGAGCAATCGAAGCTATGCCCACGTCCTCGCTGTCTCACGAGGACACCCGGATTTCCTTCGTAACCATCACGAGATAATTTGATGATGGTTACTGCTGCTGCGTTGGCAGTGGTGCGCAAGAATACATGATTCAACACGTCAAGAGCACTGTAGACTCAAAATAAAAATATATAATTGGCAACGTTTCAGGCAATGGCCCTTCTTCATGGCCAGAGAGACAAAGTAAATGATGAGAATTACGTTTTGGAAAAGTTTTGAACGGGAATGTTTCTACATTTTCTCTTCCAACGTTTCGCATCACGCTGTGCTCGCCGGCCGCCGGATTTAACGAGAGCATCGTCTGTGCCTGCGGCACCGCGTGGCACCACGTGGCACCGCGTCGCTCCGAGTGGCACCGCATTGCTCCGCGTGGCACCGCGTGGGACCATGTGGCACAGCACCGTGTGGCACCACGTGGCACCGCGTCGCTCCGCACGGCTCAGTGACGCCGCGTCTTGCCGCGTTTCCTCACGCCAGGTGCTATACAACCTGTTCCGAGCCTTCTCCACGATGAAGGTCGTCACCTCCGTGGACGTGCTGCTCGGCGCCACCAAGTTTCTGGTGGTGGGTCTGGGCGGGGTGCTCATCGGCGTGCTGCTGGGCATGGCGGCCGCCCTGACCACGCGCTTCAGTGACCACACTCGCGTCATCGAGCCCCTCTTCGTCTTCCTCTACAGCTACCTCGCCTACCTCATCGCCGAGATGTTCCAGTTGTCCGGCATCATGGCGTGAGTGCCCCCACACACGCACACACGTGGGTATGTGGTGTGTTTGTCTCTGTTGTGTGTGTGTAAACGGTCTGTGCGTGTGTGTTTAAAGGGAGTGGTAATGTAGTGGTTAGTGTGTTGCGCTATGAACCCGACGATCCGAGTTTGATTCCCGCTTGCAGCCAATACCAGTGGCGATTATCTGAACCCTAGGTCGACCCAGCCTCAAATGCGTACCTGGTGCAGTGTATAAACATCGCCACTGGGGAGACAAAGGAGGCCGGTCATGGTGCTGGCCGCCCACCCCCTGTGTATGTTAAGGCTATACGAGGGGGTGGGGGGATATTTGTCTTTGTGTAACTGACCTCGCCACCTTCACACCGGGTGCAGTGCAAGCTGCGCTCACTCTTTCTGCATCGCCGCTCGATGTCGAGGCCCACGTCGGGGGGTGGGGAGGGCGGCAGGCTCCGGTGCTGCTTCACAAACAGCCGCTAGCTGGGCCGCAGTTCCGGCCCGCGAGCGGGGGGGGGGCCTATCTGTCCCGACGCTGGGCACCAGCACCAGCGCCAGCGCGGTTGGGATGACGACCGAGGGTTTATTTGCCGGTGTTTTGCCATAAACGCTGGCGCCCGTGGCGTTTTAAGAATCGCCGAGCGAGCGTGAAGAGGTGTCTTCTTGGTTCTTTCGGTAAAGTCATGTAGAAGGAAAATAATAAAAATAAAACATAATAAAATTATTCTCATGACGTTTCGGTCACAACGCAAGCAGCCGTCTTCAGGTGGAATGGCACGCCCCAGGCTTGGAGCGACTATTTATGCTGGGATGGAGGGGCGAAAAGCGGCTTGACAAAATAATTTAGATTTATCAAGAGGAATTTAGCATATTTATGGGAAATGCAGATATGCGATTCGTACTACTTGTGAAATGCGTAGGAGGTTTGGCGAGGGGTTTAAAGTCATTATGCCCGTGTATTATGCAGGATTAGCAGTATCAAAGGGAGGGAGTAAGGTTAGAATTAATAAAGGGAAGGAATGTTAATAATATGGCGCCGCAGCAACTAATATGCTTATAGACTATACATTGTAATATTACACTATGTATTATTCTACCCACCCAACTGTATACCACACTGCTGTATATTCACCATACAATTACGATACTATATATTACCTTATACATTGTATTAAACATTACACTTTAATACTATTTATTATTATACAATATGCTATACACTATACCATTGACCGTCGCGTGAAAGGTACTAAGAGGAAGCAACGAAATATGTCAATGGGAGAGTGGTGGTAGGAAGCTTGCAGCGGAGCAAATAATCCATTCCCTTCGGAGAATTCAAGATATATAGTCAATGTCAGTTAGTGGGCTGCGGTCTGAAAGTCACCGTAAACGTGAACACAATCAGTTAAGATCCTAAATGGTTTATTACATCTTTCCAATGATTGCTGAGCCAGAATCCATCAAGCCGCTCTTAGCCCCTCCATCCCAGCATAAATAGTCGCTCCAATAGTCGCTCCAAGCCTGGGGCATGCCATTCCACCTGAAGACGGCTGCTTGCGTTGTGGCCGAAACGTCGTGAGAATTATTTTATTATGTTTTATTTAGTATTATTTTCCTTCTACGTGACTTTACCTAAAAAACCAAGAAGATGGATCCCTGCAGTCACGAAAGCTTTAAATCGTGAAGAGGTGGTCGTGTGTTTACGCTTGCGGTTGGGTTTTTCATTGTCATTTTCAATTCCAGCCCCATTCGTGTAACGCTCGTTATCTCATTGAGAAAACGTTCGATATCTTATCTACAAACAACCCTTCATAGGGTATAGGCTGCTACTGCTGTTGATGATTAAAATTGTGCAGATCGCACGGAAACCGCTGTGCGTAGAGAGGGGCTTCAGGGACACAGGGGGCAGGAGTCGAGTGTGGGGACAAGCGGTCACGTGGCTGCAGGTGTCTCAGAGGTCAGAGCATGGAGCCGGAACCACCAGGATCCTCCGTTCAAGTCCAGGCTCGGACCACTCGCGGTTTAGACCGGATTTACCAGCGCTTGCGGCAGCCAGTTGATGATCTCTGCCGAATCAGTAAGTACGCCATGGAAAAAAGCGTCTCATAAAAATTTCGTTCAGCACTTAATTTGGCAAATATTATAGCTCTGGGATTTAAAAACACGAACATTTTGGATTGGCTGTCACACAACAAACAAACTAAACTAAACTTTTTATTTTAACAGGTAAGGCTCACAGCTCTGTTTCAGAAGTGACCTGTCCACAAATGGTAGCTCAAAGAGGTTGCTTATTGCGTGGAAATGTATAGTGGCTGAATACTCTAAATGCGTGATGTTGATTTTAAATGTGGAGGGAAAACCAGAGGACCCGGAGAAAGATCCACGCGACCACAGGGAGAGAGAACACGCAAACTCTAAATACACAACAGGAGTCAGGGTTGGGATCAAACCCACGACCTCCTGTATACCAGGCAAGGTAGTTAACATCTCGCCACCGTGGTACCAATCCCAGCCAGGGATCGACTGAACCCATCACATCCCTGCAGGGCCAATCTCCTCGCAATGTAGGAAACGCGCTGCCTGGTTTTGTTCAGGATAATGAGGCTCCTTAGAGGTAGTTATTAAAAGCAGTCCAGTGTGGAAAAATCACTACTACAGCCTCCTCCATCGCTTCTCCCCCCTCCCCCTCCCTCCTCCTCCTCCCACTTTTATCCTCCACCGGTCTGATGAGGTGCCAACCCTGAAGGCCACACGGGATGCGCTGCGCAGTGAAATTCCCGAATCGATTCTTCAGCTCCACTAGGCGTGATGTTGAGAGCATCGATTTTTGGAATATAAAAATATGGGGGGGGGTAAGGCCCAAAGGAATTGTAAATGGAACGATGCCCCACAATCCATACAAGTACGTCACATGCCTACTTGCTGTCCTGCCTCATGCACCACCTGGTAGGAGATGGAAACGAAACATACAAAGGGAGCAACAGCGAGAAAGAGACCATCGTGAATTTGTGGTGATTGTTTATTTACTTACATGTGACTTGCTTACTTTTCCTATACTTTGCACTCCGATCGTTTTGTTTGTATTAGTTGTTGTAACTTTCTGACCCGTCCCCTACTGAACATCCGTAAACAAATAAGAGCTTCATAGCTCGTCGGATTTCTCCAGGATAAACAAAGATTCTGATACTGAATTGAATCTCGACGGATCGTGGCAATCCGTGGCATCGCCGGGGGCTTTGGATCGTAGCAGTTGAGGCCCTGGGTGGCTGTTTCTTCAGCCCTCGGTCTAACAGACCTCTGATCGTCTGCCTCCCCTGTCACGACAGGGTGCGGGATGCAGCAGCAGTCATCCGCCGATTTCGCCGTTTCTGTTCCCACGCTGCCACCCCCCCCACGCCGCGATCAAACCGGGCACGGTGGCCGCGGTGTGGACAACCTGATAGCTTGCCACGCCGGTGCGAATGCGAGCTTCTGAAGAGCATCCTGGCCGTGTTCATCGTCATTATCGGCGATGATCAGTCCGCTGCCGGATGAAGGCCTCCCTTTCAAGTTTAGAAGAGCATGGAAATAAAATTCGGAGAAAGCACGCGCCTACGCGGGGGCTAAACCCTCAAGGCTCCGCGCAGATTGAGTCACCGTTGCTTTGCTGTTCCTGTCATCCCGTGGCCAGCTCACAATACCAGCCGAGAGCACCTGGGGTTCTCTGGCAGCCTCCCACCCAAGGACTAACCGGACACGGCCCTGCTTAGCTCCTGAGGGCGGAATTGGGAGCGGGCGCATTCGTGGCGATCTGTTCGTCGCCCGAGCGCATGTTGAAATTTTCACTTCACTTAATGTCTCCGGCGTTGTGTCCGAACAACAATCGAGCATCCCCAGCCATAGTGGGTTTCAAACGTCGATTAATTGGACCTCTTGTGTCACTCGCTCCGACACTTTAGGGCGCTGGAGAATGTGAGAGGCTGCACTCGTGTAATGCTGTGCATCATCCCGCACCTCTGATTAACGCGGTTGGCTACGTACGGTGCGAAAGACGTTCAACATACATGCATAATCAGAATATGTATTCATGCTGGAGGAATCCTATGAGCTATCAAGCTCTTTTTCACAGATGTTCAGTCGAGGCACGGGGTAAGAACGTTACAACAACAAACAGTACAAAAACATGATAGGTGTGCAAAGTACAAGAAAGGTAAACAAATTACCCAAACAAATACAAATAAAACTAAACATCCCCATCCTTTTAGACAAAGCCCACCTGAGGTATCAACTTATTTTTTTTGGAAGCAACTTGGCCACAAAGGATAGCTCAATGAAGTGGCGTATCATTTGGACATTTATAGCACCAAAATAATCGAAATAATCTCAATGAAAAACTGGAAAACCTGGAGAAAAAATCCACGCAACCACAGGGAGAATATGCAAAATCAAAATATACAGGCGCCAGGGTCGGGATCGAACCCCCAACCTCTGCATACCAGGCAAGGTAGTTAACATCTCGCCACCGTGACGCCCCTTAGTTTGATTATTATCATTCTCCGTGTTTACCTGCAGTCTCAAGCCTCTCCTACTGGACGGCCCTGTCAAGTCTTTTGCTGTCGGGGGGTCAATGTTACCGCTGGATGTTTAAATGTTTTTCTTGCATTGGGATGTTTGGCCAACACCAATTCCATGACGTCTCCTTTAGCTATGGGAAGAAACCCGGAAGCCCACACTGTACGGGGGGAGAGAGATCGGACAAACTCCACGCAAAGAGGCACCCGAGTGGGGAAATCGAACCCAGGCCCTCTTTGCCGTGAGGCACAAGCGTCGTCTTCCGCTCCGCCCGGCGGCTTTAGCCGGCCACGGTTTTGACGGCGAGCCGCGTCGGTCTGCGGGCGAGTGTTGCGTGGCGGCACGTGTTTCCGTAGCGATGCCTGCGTCTTCCCCGTGACCTCCGCTTGGTGAGCCTCGAAACGGTTCCACGAGGTGACGGTCGGCGGCGCCGCCATTGAGAAGTGCCAGCGTAAGCGAGCGGTCGTCATGCCTGCCTTCCTGCTCTCTGTCTCTCGGTATAACGATTCAAAGAAAAAAGTGAAGCTTGTTTGCTTGGGTTGAACCATTGTTGCTGTAAAAACAAAATTCACTGTCAGAGGGTCATGCGACTGGTGGGATGCAAAAACGCTTCTTTATTTATTTATTGCTTGTAGAGATGAATGTGGATAGGAAGGGGAAGGCGTCTTGTCCGCTTATTGATTTTGTGACTCAACCCATTCCATGTGCCTTTGAAGTGCATCGAGCCTGATTACACGGGGACTGTTACGATGCCATCGCCAATATAAGTGACCCGTGACAGTAGCTCTTTGCTGCTGCTGCTGATGCTGTTGTTTGGCTGCGTGTGCACGTTTGGATGCACATTAAAGGCAGTGGCTCATTTATCCTCTCTGGAAGCCCTAATACAGATGTCCCTGGGTTAAAGTGTCCCTCCTGAGTTGCCTGTGAAGCTACACACGCAAGCCTCTCTTCAAAGGTGTTCTTCTCAATTCATTGATCCTCCTGCGCACGAATTATTTTCACAATCGATGAAGCATCCGAATGGCACTGTAAAAGGCGCAACCGCGTATTACTTGACGACGCTCGCGCTGCACTGCTAATGGGGCTGGGTTAACGAAGACACTCGCTCTCTCGCTTGTAAACTCCCCGATCGGACTTCGTGGAGGATGACTCCGGGGCGTTCCCCGGGTGGCCGAGCGCCGGTGTGCCCCCACTCCGGCAGAGGGGTCATCGCGCAGAGCACGACCACCACCGCAGAGACGGAGCGCCAGGGGTCGGTCTCCGCGCAGGAGCCGGCGACGCACGATCCGTGGCATCGCAGGATCTGTTAAGAATGGCGGTTACGTGGGGAGACCGTCCAGCAGTTGATAGGCCATGGCTGACGGTGACCTCGCTGTGCCCATTTCGCTCTGCTGCCCAGACCCCTGCGGCTTCTGGCTCGGCTGCGCATGCAGAATCGCCTCTCTGAGAGCGATTTAGCTGCGCGCGTGGCACTGGCGCCATCCTTCTCATAGCGCAAGGCTATCACCACGCAGGACGGCGCTGCTGCGTCTCGTACGCGCAGGCTGCAATAGTTTCACAGCAGGGGGCGATGTTGTTCCTTTGAAGCTGCCTGTAGCTCTGTATAGCTGTGTGTAATCCCGGTTGAGTAATTTGAAACATTTGGAGGGTGACGCGACTCAACAAGGAGGCCTCTGTGTGCCAGTGGGCATCACGATGGTCCGTGCGACGCTCCATGTGACACATCGCCCTGCTTCGTGCGATGCCCCCTTTGACCCGACGCTCCGCGCATGCCCCCACCTCTCCCCCCTCTCTCTCCCCGCCACTCAGGATGGTGGCGTGCGCCATGAGCATGAAGCAGTACGTGGAGGCGAATGTGTCGCAGAAGTCGCACACCACCATCAAGTACTTCATGAAGATGCTGAGCAGCGTGAGCGAGACGCTCATCTTCATATTCCTGGGCGTGGCCACGGTGAACGGGAGCCTCGAGTTCAACTGGGCCTTCCTCTCCCTCACGCTGGTGGCCTGCCTCGTGTGGAGGGCCCTCGGTAAGGCTGTTGGAGTCAACGGTCGCGCCGCACCCCTCCTCCGGCCCTCGTGCTATGCCCGTTTTTTTCTTTCTTTTCCCTTCCTTCCCCCTGCCGTCGATTTCCTGAGCCGTGCCAGAACCAAACCCGCGATTATTCTCTGGCCTCACGGTGACAATCGGATCGTTGTTTCACCATCACGTTCTCCGTCTGGCCGAAACCGGCGACGCAACTCCCCTCACCCCACCGCTGCATTCGACGCTACGCAGCCGCGCTCGTGGCACTCGTCGGTGGCGGGCATTAGAACCGATTGCCAGCGTTGGGGCTCTGTCTGCGAATGTGCGTCTCCACGATTTGATTGATTAGTTGGAGATTCCGGCCGCGTTAAAGCTCCCGTTACCCCAGTACTGTTCAATCTGTAAGGGTCGATTGTTTACCACCGTGGACTGTGACACCGTCGTGCATCATCTACCTCGCGTGTCGACTCGTTCGTCACACGTCGCATGTCGGTGGCACGGCTTCACTTCTGCAGTCGAAAAGCAATGCGCGGTGCTCCCAGAGCCGTGCCAGGCTGGCCTGACGCACCACCCAGCACGGCTTGGCTGTATGGTGGGAAAGAAAGCAAGCGATTTAAACTCCCACGCGGCTTCCGGCACCGCCGGTCCATGTTTCACCGCACACGGTGGAACCTTGTGGCCATTCCTTTTTAGCGAGCACAAACCTTCCGCAAAAACACTGTCAATGTCACCTCGGTCGGCGTCGTGCTCCCTGGCTCCCCCCGTCACTGCCGCTGGGGAGCGTGTACCGTTGATCCGAAGCGGCGTTGCTTGAACCGCACGGTCAACGTTTGCGATTCAACAACTCAAACGTGGCTCGAGTTAAAATCAATGTCGTCTCACTATCTGTACAAATTCGTTATCCGCACCGAGCACAGGAGACTTGAATCCACCAATGCCAACCTGACTGGAACAGCAGAACTCGCGAATTCGTTCTGCAGTGCACGTTCCTGCAATTGCCGTCAGACCCGTTGGGCTCGAGATGCTCGCGAGCTCGCAAGCACGCGGTGATCCACCGTGGGTTGGGCCGCGTAACGTTCTAACCCGGTTGGTGTCGTCAGGAATCTCCGCTACCCGATGAGGCCAATCAAAATAAATTGTCACGTGATGCTTAAGTGCTCAACGAAGAGCCGATTGTGATTGTGCGCGTGGCAATTTAACTTGGGGGGGGGGGGGTGGCAGGAGGGTGGTGTTTGTTATTTACAGATTTGGTTTATTGGTTGGCACACTGTACCGTTACTCGAGCAAAGCGCGCTCTGTGAACCAGTCTTAGGTGTCGTCCCCAACCCCCCCCCCCCGAACCCCCCGTTTTGCGACACACACACATATATATTCGGTGTAAATATTTTTCTTTAAACGATATCCCTGGATTTATAATTATGGAGGAGATTTCAAATAAACCCAGTGAGAGGCCAGAGTGCCGAGGTCACGGCGTGATTCTGCCCGTAATGAGAACCGCGCCGTGAAACACCACGGATGCGAAGATAACGCGAGGATAACACAGGGTGAACACAGGGTGAACTCGGGGTGAACGCAGGGTGAACGTGGCGCGGGGCCACATTACAAACGCTCGAGCGGGCGACATCGGAACGAGTCCAAGGGAGGACCACACGGGGGGGCGCAGGGGGGTGGAGTGGCTGTAGACGTCATCGTACGGAGCCAAGGGGGGCGGAGGCGGGGGGGGGCGCGTTTGTCCCGCTCGTGTGGCCCCTCGTCGCGGGTTCGACGTCACGGGGGCGTTGACGATGGGCGACGTGGCCGCCGTGTGCCCAGGCGTGGTGGTGCTCACCTTCATCATCAACCGCTACCGCCTGGTGTCGTTGACGGCCAAGGACCAGTTCATCATCGCCTACGGCGGCCTGCGTGGCGCCATCTGCTTCTCGCTCGTTTACCTCCTGCCCGCCGACTTCCCCAAGAAGCAGCTCCTCATCACAGCCACCATCATCGTCATCCTCTTCACCGTCTTCGTTCAGGTGTGCACGCCCTGCAGTGCCGTCCCCATCGCGCGCACTGGGGCCTCCTTCATGCTGGGCGGCAGGGTGGAGCGGGGGAGGCAGGGTGGAGCGGGGGAGGCAGGGTTGAGCGGGGGAGGGAAGGGTGGAGCGGGGGAGGGAAGGGTGGAGGAGGCAGGGTGGAGCGGGGGAGGCAGGGTGGAGCGGGGGAGGCAGGGTGGAGCGGGGAGGCAGGGTGGAGCGGGGGAGGGAAGGGTGGAGCGGGAGGGAAGGGTGGAGCGGGGAGGGAAGGGTGGAGCGGGGGAGGGAAGGGTGGAGCGGGGGAGGAAGGGTGGAGCGGGGGAGGAAGGGTGGAGCGGGGGAGGAAGGGTGGAGCGGGGGAGGCAGGGAGTGGGAGTGGAGCGGGGAGGAAGGGTGGAGCGGGGGAGGAAGGGTGGAGCGGGGGAGGAAGGGTGTGAGCGGGGGAGGGAAGGGTGGAGCGGGGGAGGAAGGGTGGAGCGGGGGAGGAAGGGTGTGAGCGGGGGAGGAAGGGTGGAGCGGGGGAGGAAGGGTGGAGCGGGGGAGGAAGGGTGGAGCGGGGGAGGAAGGGTGGAGCGGGGGAGGCAGGGTGGAGCGGGGGATGCAGGGTGGAGCAGGGGTGGAAGAGTGGGGGGGGGAGGTAAGGGTGGAGCGGGGAAGGAAGGGTGGCGCAGGAGAGGGAAGGGTGGAGCGGGAGAGGGAAGGGTGGAGCGGGGAAGGCAGGGTGGAGCGGGGGAGGCAGGGTGGAGCGGGGGATGCAGGGTGGAGCGGGGGTGGAAGAGTGGGGGGGGAGGTAAGGGTGGAGCGGGGAAGGAAGGGTGGAGCAGGAGAGGGAAGGGTGGAGCGGGAGAGGGAAGGGTGGAGTGGGGGAGGGAAGGGTGGAGCAGGAGCGGCAGGGTGACAGGAGAGTGGTAACACTCGTACCTCACGGCAAGAAGTGCCTGGTCTCGATTCCAGACTTTAGGTGCCTTTCAGGGGTGTATGATCTCCCCCTGTTCTGCATCGGTTTCCTCCTGTAGGTAAACGAAACGTAGCGCGTAATCGGTATTGGCGAGTCCGTGGGTCGGCGTGTCCATGTGAAGCCGTCCGAGTCTCGCGACCGTGCCTTGCGTTGCCTCTGCCGTGACCGCGACCGCAGGGGATGACGATCCGGCCGCTCGTCGACCTCCTGGAGGTGAAGAGGAAGAGCCGGAGTCCCCCAACCGTGAGCGAGGCCATAACCGTGCAGGTGAGCCCTGCTCGCCACCGCTGCCCACCGCCGCTCTCCACCACACGCGACCACTCGCCACACACGCATGCATGGAACTCGACAACAACATCCGCCGTTCACCACTAGGTGGCGGTAACGTCACCGCGGCGCTTGTGTAAGAAAAAGTGCTTGAACCTCATACAGGACCAAGTACTCATTTTGAGGCTGAGTTGACCTAGTGGAGGCCCAGGACCGGTTTAGATAATCGTCGAGCTGCCGCTGCCCACTAAAAACTCAACGCACTCACACACATACAATCGCCCTCTTGCTTAACAGCAAGAGGTGGGACTTCATTCGATTCCCGCTCACGGCAAATAACAGTAGTGAATATGTGAACCGGTCTCCCCAGGGTCAATTCAGCCTGAAATGAGTACCTGGTGCAGTGTGTGAACATCGGCACTGGGGAGAAAATTGTGACCGGGCGTGGTGCTGGCCACCCATCCCCTTCGTGTGCTATGCCAGCCTTCATATAGGGTGCTATGGTGACGAGATGTTAACTACCTCGCCTGGTATACAGGAGGTCGTGGGTTCGATCCTGACCCTGATATCTGTATATTTAGAATTTGCATGTTCTCCGGTTTTTCCCTCCAAAATTTGAATTAATACGCAGCATTTAGAGTATTTGGCTGCTATGCATTTCCATGTGATAAGCCTCAGCGTTGAGCTATCATTTGTGGCCAGGTCTCTTCTGAAAAAGAACGACATAGCTCAGTGGGCCTTACCTGCTAACATAAAAAATACTTCTCATCGTCACGCTCAGCTTCACAAATGTACTCCAAACTCCTGGTGGCAGTTGGACTTACGAAATAAATTGCATGGGAGGTGGCCAAAGTTGCCTGAGCCGGCGACATTAAGATCCTGAGAGTTTGAATCCTGGGTTTTTAGCCGCCCATGATAAAACTTGATTGTGGACCTCGGAGAATTGATGATCACCGACGACTCCACGCAAATAACATCAACAGCTGAGCGGGGGGAGGGCTGTTTCACTCCAGCCTTGGGTGCGCACCTTCGGTAAAATAAAATAAATAGTTTAGTTTTAGTTATAGGCGCTTGCTAACAGCACTTTCCCCAAATAGTCTGTTGAAGGATTCATGGGTGATCTTTGTATTAGCAGTGGTGATGCCGTGTGTGTGTGTCTGTGGGTGTGTGTGCGGTAGTGTTGCGGTTAGCGCGCTGCGCTACGAACTTGGCCCAACAGTCCGTTCAAGGCTACACGGATCTTTGTATTAGCGGTGGTGTTGCTGTTCATGTGTGTGTTTGCAATTCCTCGCAGTTCCTGGACCACCTGCTGGTCGGTATCGAGGACGTCTGTGGACACTGTGGCCAGCACTACTGGAAGGACAAGTAAGGGCACATGTCCATGACCCGTGTGCCTGTGCGTTCGTGCCTTGTGTGTCCATACCCCGTGCGCCGGTGCCCCGTGCGTCCATGCCCCATGTGTACGTGCTCCCGGAGTGTTTTGCGTTGTCAAGTTTCATTCCCATGGGGAGTTTCCTGTGATGGTGTCGTGACCGCCCCGACTCTTCTGTAAGAAGCAAGAGTGGCTCCGTCTCAATGTGGCTCTTACCTTGGGCAACTGAAGGTGATGGTGATGTTGATGACATTACTTTGGAATACGAGTGGAGAGACTCGTGTGCTGCGCTCCAAACCAGGCGACCCCAGTTCGATTCCCATCCACGGCTCACATTGGTGGTGAGTGACATCCGAACCGGTTGCTGGGTCCCCACCGTACTTCACCATCTCGCGCTGACCGACTGGTGAAGTATGGTCAAAAATCCCGTTGACTGACACGGTGCAGGGGAGGCCATCATTCAGCAGTGGATTTACAAAGAGCACGCGAATTACTTTTTTATTAACATTTGGGAGAGATGATTCGGAATTGATTTATTTTTGGTTCAATCGTGTGGGTATAATGTAAACAAAAATGGTAACTATAACCCTCCACCACCCGACAGAGCCAATCAAATCAAGTTGCCACATGGGAAAATGTGGCACCTGATTTGGTTCTTCAGTCTTAAGTTTTTCTTCAGACTGAAGAGAGTGAGCAACATTTGTGACCAATGGTTGATCGTACCGGACCCTGCATTGCCCCGAGACACAAGGAAGCAAGCAGTGGAGGCAACTTACCAAACGTTGTGGATTCGTTCCCAGCAACGCAAAGTGAAGCGATGTGTCAAGTTTTACTAAAGGCCGAAGTTAGTTTTTGGTTACAAAAAAAGGATCCCGAATAATTCAGGCAGCGTCGTCGGTTGTCATACGGAACCACATTCCAATTCCTTTATTGATAAATTGTTCAGTTACCGCGCGGCGTTCTGCAGAATCTGCCATTGCGCGTCGATCAGCCCTGCCCGTGCCTTTAAAGTGGCGGAGCGCGCACCTCTTCTGTCCAAACGAGGCGCTTCCGTAGGGCGCAGGAGAAACGGCGTTAACGTCGCCCCCCTCCCCTGCATTCGCCACCGTCAGATTTGAGAAGTTCAACAACCGATACCTGAGGCGCTGGCTGATCCGCGAGCGCACGCTGCGTGAGTTCAACTTCGTGGCCATCTACCAGAAGCTGGAGGTGAAGCAGGCGCTGGAGCTGGTGGAGAGCGGCAACCTGAGCCGTGTGCCGTCCACCGCCACGTTCATGTGAGACACTCGCGTCCACTCATTCACACTCACTCACACAATGCACGGCCACTCGCTCACTTTACGGTGGCGTTGATGGTGTTGACGGTGGTGTCGGTGGTGGCAGTGGTGTGATACTGGTGGCGGTGTTGATGGTGGGGTGACGGTGGTGGTGCCGCTCTGTAGGAATGAAGCCATCACGGAGCCATCTCGCCCGCCCCTCGTGGCGCTCAAGCAGGTGGTGGACGTGCGCAAGATCCTAAACCAGCACATGTACAGGACCCGACAGAGGGTGAGCAGCGCCCGCACTCACAGCTGGGGCTGCTGCGCCCCCGCATGCGGGCAGCATCCGGGTCTCCACGCGGCCCGCCATCGCGGTCATGCCGCACACCGTCCATGGTCGCCGCTTGTTGCAGGAGTCCGCGGTTCAACCGCTAAATACAACCGCACGCCAGTGGACGTTAAAGGTCCTACGGCGTCGTTCGATAAGGGAAGTCGGCCGTTGTGCGTCGACGTCACGGTCAACATTTTCCAAATAAAAAAGAAATGTACACTGCAAATTGCTTAGTTGGGATTATACAGAGGAGCGATCGTCAACCCGCCCCTGCCTACTGGCACTGGGGGGTGCGTATACGCTGAGATGCGACGCATTGCGCTCTCGCTTACCAAGCCTTTGTTGAAGCAAGCCGGGCTCACGGGGCGAGGCACGGTTACCGCGCGTGTCACCGAGCGGAGAGATAACGGGGCGAGTCATGGTCACCGTGCGTGTGCGCGAGCAGCTGGCGTCGTACAGCCGCCACACGCTGCCGCTGGACCAGGAGAAGCAGGAGAAGGAGATCCTCATCCGCAGGAAGCAGTTCCTGGACATGCAGCGTCAGGTGAGTGGCGCTGCATGCACCTCAGCCCATACCGCCGCTCTGCCTCATGAGCTGCGTCGCCGCTGTCATGACGATAGTGTAGTGAATCCAACTGAATCGCAGACGTTGTCTTGGGAGCAACACTATTTATTACATCAACTCAACACACAACATAGCGTAACCTACACTCGGGTGTTGAACGCCCATCTAACCACGCTACGGCAGAACTAGACACGGTCCCGCTCTCCCGGTCCGGACCACGAGCTGGGTCCCGGACCGCGTGGCTAGAGGCTTCTTCAACCCGACGTGAATCTTCACTCACCAACGGGTAGGAGCAGGCTCCGCCCCTCGCCCCGCCCACCTTCTAGATCTCTCGAGCTCTTTCCCGAAGGCTCCCGAGAGCTCCTCTATACCACGTGACCACCCAGCAGCCCCCGTCTACCGGTAGCCCCCCTCCAATATCATCTGGTCACGTCTCGGCAGGTCAACCAGCGTATCATGCCCCAACGTAACCCTGGCTGGCTGACGCTCCTTCTCGCTCCCTCACCGGGAGCCCGCACCGCACACTGTACGCGGTGCCTCCGCGCTGACCAGTGCTCATCCAAGCCTGGTACTATGCCCAGGAAGCGGGCTACACTTAATGACAACACAGTATCCGCCGTGGCCTCGCAAGCCCGGCACCACACAGCGACATTCACAGTCACTACAATAGCAACAACAACAACGATGATTCACGGCCCATGGTCAATCTACCGCTGGGTGAAGGGGCTCTCCGTATCGTGTCAGCATTTGGCAGTTGTTTCACCGATTCGGATTGTACACGCAAAGAATGCCCCTCCCCCCCCCCCCGCCTTACTGGCAGACCGATGCCCACTGTCAGCTGTCCAGGTGCTGAGTTGCCTCGTGGCCACACAGAGACAGCAGTGCGGGGGGGGGGGGGTGCCCCTTTCAAACGTGATGGTCGTGTGAGTCGGTTCGTATGTCTCCAGCGCTCGGGGCAGCATCACTACAGAGGAAGGGCGTCTCTATCGAGCACCGATCGCTCGTTGTTGTCATCGCGATACTTCGCCATGCCGGCCACAGGGCCGTGTGGGATTGTGCAGGGGGGTGCCCAGCGCCGGCTCGGATGCCACTGATGTGAGGCGCCGCTGGGAAGAAACTCCAGGGAGGCAGCCGGCCGCATTTTAAATTTAACGCTCGTTTCTTTAGAACTGATTTTTGCGTGCGTTTAACTTTGTTGTCCCATGCACGACACCTTCCGATTTAGCTCGGTCAGCTACGAATGGTGCGAAAGAAGTTCCAACATCGTACACTCGGCGCACGGCACGTTAACCACCGCGAACCCCCCACCTCGTCCAACAGCGGATCGACAAGAGCCGTAACTAACATAGAGGGGTTAGGAGTAGGGCTGCCATGCTCCCTACCACCACCACCGCCACACGTAGTGGGCGGCTGCCGTGCCCCCCACCACCATGCATAGTGGGCGGCTGCCGTGCCCCCCCCCCACCACCACCACCACGCGTAGTGGGGGGTCCCCGTGGCGCCTCCACTGACCCCCCCCCTCCCCCCGTTCCGCGGAGCAGGATGTGAACCACTCCCTGCTGTGCGTGCCGCCCATGCCGGGGACGCCGCCGACGATGCGCCACCTCCCACGCCACTTATCAGGTGGGTGGCGCCGCTCCCAACACACGCGGCGGCTTTCAACGTTCACACTGCAGTCACAGGATCGTCACTGTTACGTAACCAAACTGTTGTTATGATTGTTATAAAAAAAAGACAACTTTATTTACTCAAACTATTGTAGAGCACTTTTCTTTGCTGTATGTACTCCATTCTTAGACCGTGGCTGAATGCACTTTCATAACTATATGAGCTATCATTTGTGGCCAGCTGTCGAGATGCTAACGACCTCGCTTGGTATACAGGAGGACGTGCATTCGATCCCGACCCCGATGCCTGCTCTATATTTGGAGATTGCGTTGTCTCTCTCCTCGTGGTAGCGTGGATTTTTCTCCTGGTTTTTTTCTCTCCACATTTAGAATCAACATCATGCGTTTAGAGTATTTGGCTGCTATAAATTTCCACATGATTAGCCACTTCGTTGGGCCGCTTCTGAAAAAGAGATACATTCCTGGTGAAAATAGTTTATAGTTTTAGTTGATAACTGCTGGGATGGGACCGCCCCGTGCTTTGACGTGGCGGTGCCGGGTCCCTTCCTCGTCGACATCGCAGCCGTCACGAGCCGGCCTCCTCCCCGTGTCTCTCGTCCGCCCGTAGTGAGCGAGGATGGAGAATCCGGCGAGTGGGGCGGCCAAACCTTGCCCAAAATCGTCGTCGACCTGGCATCGCCGCTCTCCGGCGACGTCAACTGGGGGGTCATGAGCCCCCCGAGCAGCCCCGAGACTGACCCGGGGACCCTCTGCCAGAGCAGAGCGCCCGGAGGTTGCCCCGAGGTCAACGGCGGCACCCACCCCGGCCCCGTGGCCCGTTCGCAGTGGCCGAGCAAGCGGCTCCGCGGCGGGACCGAGGCACGGTCGCAGAAGGGAAACCGGACGACCAACGGCGCGGACCTGCGTATCCCCACCACGTGCGAGGTCAACAGGGGGCCCGCCGCGCCTGCTGCGGCCACTCCGGGGAGCCGCGAGGCAAGGCCCGCACTGTTGGCCACGCTGAACGCGGCGACGGGGGTGGTGGACGTGCGCACGGTCAGGCCACCGGCCTATGCGGGCCGCTCGGTGGATGGCCTGGGCAGCGAAGACGAAGACGACGACGTGTTTGAGGAGCGGGCGGGGGCCGCTGGAGCCGTGGGGACCGCGTGCCGGGGACGTGAGCTCGCGGAGAGGGAGGTCATCCCTCTGCTAACCACGAGGTCCGTGTCGGACCCGGGGCCTCCGAGCGACAGTGGGGTTTGATTGCCGCACGCCGGTATGTCCCTCCCCGCGTCGCCGTCCGCTCCGGCGAGACCGAGGCAGAGGAGTCGTGGATCTCCAGCGGTCATGACGGCGAAGCGCAGCACCAGCGCGTGGTTCCTAGACGCCGGCGACGGTGGGGAGCCAACGTCATGGTCGGAGGAACCAGCACCCCCCTCGCTCACCCTCTCTTGCACTCGGGCAGCGCGAGCAGCCGCGTGGTTTTTGCACTCCAGAGGGTCGGGGGGCGTCGTCGCCTGCAGCAGCAGCCGCGAGAGCTTCCGGCAGTGCCAGCAGCAACCCCATTAGCCAGGTTTGCTGCCCTGTGTTTTGAAAAAAAATATGCACTCAGCACTTTGAGCAATGCCAGGTCGATGTTTTGTGTTTTTTGTTCTTTTTAACAGATGGGAGATGAAGCAAGGATATATCTGGCTGTCTCTCGTCTTGTCCAGCAAACACAAAATGCATATTCCGCAGCTTTCCCCGCTACACGCAACGTCACACCAGTGCTGTATTTGCAAGTTAAGACAACAACGGTACACTTCGTTTGGAAGCAGGGGTAGACATCAGTCAGGTGTTACCGCGCCCAAACTCCCATCATGCTATGCAGTAGTATTCCATCGTTACTTGCAAGGGATCCACTCCGGAGATGCTCGTGAAAAGTACATGTTGTGGATAATGATATTGGCTCTATGAATATCGTACGCGCAGCATCTGCAGATGCTCGTAAAACTTCAAGAAGTTCTCTTTATCTCGCTCATCACTTTATCTTTCGTCACTTTCTTTATTATAACTTTCTCATCACTTTCCCTCTCTCGATGCGGTAGTCACGTACGGTTCCAGATGCAATTCGTGTATAGCCAAATTCGCGGATGGTGAACAAGAAGAAGGGTATTACTGGATTAAAGAAATCCATCCCCCAGAATGAAATGCGCTCGGCTGTTAACGGCACTTTGAGCGCGCGTGGGCTCGGGCCGCGTCTGAATGAGCGCTCGTGGCCCTGCACGTGCAACTTGCTGCGCCGGACCTCTTGCACTCGGCGGGACCTCAAGGGCATCATGGAGAAATTATGACATCTCGCCTGGAGCGTGCGACAGTGTGGTGCACTGCTCTGTCCCTTCCTCTCTCTGTCTCTCCCTCTCGCTGTTCCAGTTGCAGCAGCCACCCTTGCGTTGTGCGACGAGGGTGAATGGTCACGCTGGCCACATCTGGGGGTGATGAGAAATAAATCTGCGAGCAAAGAAAAAACCTCAGAGTTGTGCGAAATATCACGCGATTTGTCGAAACATACTAAATGTTTAACGGCAGACTTTGACTTTATAACATTTCTCTCCAGTTTTATAGCAGTTAAGGCACTCTTACGATAATGTATTCCAGCCCAGTATAAAAAATGACAGTTCACTGATGATTAAATTATCTTGGTATTGTGAAGCTAATTCCCCAGAATGCAACCTCTAATGTAGAGGCGTAATGCAACGGGCGGCTGCTGGCTCCTGTTATCAGGGTTTTCCAAGTCCAGGCGGACGACCAAGGAACAGGAATGTGCGGCGGTGCCCCCATCATCAGCGGCATCACCGTCATCATCACGCCCAGGCGGTGGTGGCTGCGCTGCTGCACGTGGCAGCTGTGATCCAGCGCTGTGGAGGCAGCAGTGAGGGGTTGGTGGATTGCCGCACAGATGGGGTGCGAAACTCCCTTTACCCGTTGGGCTTCGAGGAGGAGCCGAACCCTGGCTCGCAGGAGAAGTCAGTGCTGCATAGTGGATGAGTCTCCATCTGTTCATTCCATCTGTACGGGGTGGGGGGGGGGGGGGGATAGAGTATTGCCCCCTCGCATGCGTGAGTTTCTCTGGGTGCTGCGGTTTCCTCCCACTTAATAACAATACTTTGAATTTATATAGCAGTGTCATTCATGCCAACAGCATTCCACAATGCTGTACATGAATTATTTATAAGGACCAAATGCCATATACGTGCTTGGCAACGCACGGCACGAAAGAAGCCCAACACACACACACGTACACACCAAGCATTAGAACCCCTACCACTCCTACCAAGCAAATTAAAAAATGGATAAACAAATTCCGAAATGGCACCAAAATAAATAATAACAAGAAAGTTATCAATAAACACATCTTATCATTCATTGGCTGAAAAATATTATAATTAAACCCAATGCAGGACCCTCCTGAAAAATAGTCATTCGATTCTGATAACTAAATTAATATTTTTATAATTTTAAAATAGAATTAACTTGTGCTCCAACTGTTAACGACTCAGCACACCACGATAGCTGAGACTGGGAAATCACAGTGGGGGCTCGTGCAGCCCCCCCCCCCTCCACCGTGACCCACCCAGCCGCTAGTGGTCAGGGGTCTGGGCAGCAGTGACGAGCGCGGTGCATTAGTCGGGACAAGCGCAGTGGAATGTGCCGACTACCACAGCAGAGGTGGCCCCCAGATGGCACCATGGGGGGCACAGCTCCCCGTGGCCACGTCAGGCCACGCAGGTGCCTCCAAATACAAAAAGGTGGCTCGATAATGATTTTGGGTATCGAAACTTGGGAGGCAAGATGCGCTCTGCACCTTGGCTTCCAGCATCTATATATGTTTTAGTTTTTTACCATAAATTCCCTGAGATATTTGCAAGTGTTTGCGTGTCATGAGTCCATGGAGTTAATTTAGAGCTTAAATATAGGGTTAGGGGATATAATCGGCACAATATCTTTACTGTCATGTGTCATATACCAGCACATGTCCACTCGCGTGCTTTGTCACATTCGAGGCTATTGACTGATGACAAATTCGGTGGAACGTGCCACAAGGCCGCCAGAGGTGCATATGTTCATCATCACTTGAGAACCAGCAAATTACGCCTGCTCAGTTCAAACGAGTTGGCTCGTCATTTGATCATATGATATACGATAATACCGCACGTCAACATGCTGGTAGTTCTGTCAGCTTTCTTTATATAGATCACAAGTATAGTCTAACAATTCTTTAAACCATCGAGATAGAAAGTCATTGTCTGACATTGAGGCATCGTGTGTCAGTCGTGAGCTCAGGTAACTGCCATTGCTGAACCCACACTTCAAGATGCCACACCCCATCGTGAAGACACCGCAGTGCCTCCATCATCGACTATCGCTTCTTGTGGAGCCGTGTATGGTGAGCACAGATTACGATTCAATGGTTTGCAAAACAATATTTGCAAACCATTTGTTTGCAGACGACGGTGTCCTTGTGGCGCTATCTTACACAGACCCCATCGGAACGTCGCGGAGAGCTTCACTGCGGCAGTGTGGTCACTAAAACAGCCAGAAGACAAGAGGCGCAATGGTGCTGAAAGACATCCTACGGAGTTCCATCGTAGAGAAAAAGCCATAATCTGTGT